AAACATCTATTCCACCAATCACTCTCTATCACTTCTAACATGGTATCAGCCTACCGATCCAACCCTAGCCGCTGCCCGCCGTTTCCGCCCTGCGCGCCGCCCCCTGGGCGGTCGGCCTCAATGATCCCCGCCGGGGGCTCCGCCGTCCGTACCTAGGATTTGTTCGCTGGTCGTATTGATCGGCTGTCCTAGAGAGTTTTTTTCCCGAGCCCTTACTCTGTGTTTTTCTCTCTCCCGTCGGTCATCTTGATCGGCGTTCTATTTTTTGGTTTTCCAATCTAAAATCGGTTGCGTCACCCGCCGCCGCCATCGACCCCCGTGCCTCTACTCCGACATCGGCATCAAGTACACCAGCCACTTCGTCGTCAATCACTCGACAAGGCTGGACACACCTCCCAAGGGACGCCTTCGTGCGTCGCTGCCGGCCGCTCGTCCTCGTGGTCTTCATTGCCAGCCCGTCTTTGTCGTCATCGCCCGGGACATCACTGACAATGTTGCCAATGACTTCGATCTGCGGGTCATCCCCGCCATGGCGCGTACAGCGCCGTCGTTGGTCTGATCAACCGATCACGCGCCTGTCTTTGCCAAGCACCTTCCCGAGCACACTATCGAGCCACAGGTTGCTGTCACGTCATCCCTTCGGACCGTTGCGTCGCTGCCCCGAGGTCTTCCCGCCGGCTGGCTGCCCCGCTCCACGCGCCGCTCCCGCCGACGCCCCTTCGGGCTGTCGTGGCGCGACATGCGGTCCATGCCGCCGCCCCGAGATCCTCCCGTCGGCTACCTTCGTAGCCGCCGCCGCCTTTGTGTCGCCCCTTAGGATTGTCGCGCCGGGGCACATGGTCCATGCCGCCTCTCGTCGGGTCGTCGCCCCCGGTCAGTGGTTCTACCTGTGGCTGCCCCAACCGCGAGCCACCGCTACACCGTCGCTTTGGGCTGTAGTGCCGCGGAGCGCGATCACTGCCGCCGCCTGAGGCCATCCCCGCGGCATCACCGACCCGCGCGCTGCCGTTATGCCACCTCTTCAGACAATAATGCCGC